CAATAAGTAATGAAATTAAATAAAATTGACAGGAAAAAAAGAAGAAGAATAAAGTATTATTTTAATTAGCAATGTTTTTGCAAGGAAAAAACCCTTCTCTTTTAATTTATAGTTAATAATATACAAACTAGTTTAATGGAGGCGCTACATTATGCTTTGAACAAAAAAAAAAATGAACATTCTGCTAGTTGATATTGTTATTAAATCATGATCAATAAATTAATCTTGAAATTTGTTAAATTAATTTTTTTAATTTAGATTTACTCTTATATTATATAAAATTTATCCCAACATGACTTAATCAACTTAAAATATTTAAAAATAACTCGAATAATCTGTAAAAAGTATGTTTTGATTTAAAAAAATTCAAGATAATTTTTATTTTTTATATCGGTTGAGTTTCATGATTTAATGTGTTAAATTGGAGATCCAATGATGGAATTGGTGGGTTTAACAATTTCATTTTTCTTAAACTTTTTTATACTTAATTATATTATAACAAAAATAAATATTTTTAAAATCAAGCACAAATTATGTATAAACTAAATATTGAGATATTTATTTGAAATTATAATAACTTTAATAACTTTAAAAAACAAATTGAAACAATTTATGAAAATAAATTTAAAATAACACGACCTGTGTCACGAGAGTGTGATAGCTCAATATTTCAATGAATAATGCTTTTGTGAGGAAGGGTTCGGTAAAGTCACAATCAACCCAATATTAAAGGATAAAAATAAAAAAATTAATTAAAAAAACTAAAGCAATTAGATTAACCTATTATAATTCATTTAATGAAAGTATAATAACTCAATAAAAAAATTTAATATTAAAGAAATTTTTTAAAAAAAAATCAAAAAAATAAAACACTATTCCAATAAATAGTTCTTTATAGGGAGGGGTACAACAAAACCTCCTCCTCTTTTAATTTATAGTCAATAAATAATGAAATTAAATAAAATTGACTGAAAAAAAAAAGAATAAAGTATTATTTTAATTAGCAATGTTTTTGCGAGGAAAAACCCCTTCTCTTTTAATTTATAGTTAATAATATACAAACTAGTTTAATGGAGGAGCTACATTATGCTTTGAATAAAATAAAATGAACATTCCACTAGTTGATATTGTTATTAAATCATGATTAATAAATTAGTCTTGAAATTTGTTAAATCAATTTTTTTAATTTAGATTTAAAATTATATTATATAAAAGTTATCCCAACATAACTTAATCAACCTAAAATATTTAAAGATAACTCGAATAATCCATAAAAAGTATGTTTTGATTTAAAAAAATTCAAGATAATTTTTATTTTTTATATCGGTTGAGTTTCATGATTTAATGTGCAAATTCGTGATCCAATGATGGAATTGGTGGGTTTAACAATTTCATTTTTCTTAAACTTTTTTATACTTAATTATATTATAACAAAAATAAATATTTTTAAAATCAAGCACAAATTATGTATAAACTAAATATTGAGATATTTATTTGAAATTATGATAACTTTAATAACTTTAAAAAATAAATTAAAACAATTTATGAAAATAAATTTAAAATAAAGAAAATATTAAATAATGAAATTAAAAAAATAATGAAAATAAACTAAAAAAAATAGAAAATGCAAAAAAAAGAAGATAGAAATGAAAAAAAAGAAACGCAACCTCCTTAACTGAGATGCGCTGCCCCAAGTTTTTTTTAGCATGGAAAGTATGATGTAAATCTAACATATCATGAAAAAAAAAAAAAAATCTTGACCCTCTAACAGTTTGCATTGGTATTTTAAAAAATTATACAGCTTATCGTTTACACTGTTCATAATATCTTACACACTGATGAGTGAACTCAGTCCCAAAAAAATATATATATTACAAGTTTGTTATTATAGTTAATTTAACATATAAATTGTTGGAGAAAAAATAATTGATTTACACATCTCTCGCCGTCGGCAGCCTCCATTCACCACTGATCACCGACCCCCCTATCCTCTCTCTAACTCCTATCAATACCAATAAATGAACAAATTTCAATCATTTAGAAGATGAGCTAGAGAACATATCTAAAAATTGCAGCAATTACTCCAAATTTTTTATCCTCGTGAACTGAAGATGAGCTAGAGAATCTAAAAATTGCAGGAATTACTCCAAATTTTTTATCCTCGTGAACCACAAGCGTAAGGATTTTTATAGCAAATAATAGACCTGTAAATTTTCAAAATCAACAATGGAGCATTGTTAGACCCCTATATAACCCGCAATTCAATTTCAAAGCTAGTCTTAAAAAATCCATGTCTGTGTAAATGTTAAAAAAATATCATAAAAATTCAGTTTCTATTTTCAAAACTATGTAATAATCAATCCAAACTTAGAATTTCTAGTAGCAATCCAGTTGAAGGAATACATAAAATTAGGGATGTTTATGGGTTGAATTTTTATTCATATTAATTATATTTAACTTAATTTTTGATATTTTAAAAATATAAATCTGACCCATTCATTTTTTTTTAAACTGAGTGAGTTGGATGTATCTAGTTGGGGTAAATTTTTATGGATATTACAGGTATTGCATATTCATTCTTTTATTTTTTATTGTTCTAAGAATAACGCAGGGTTGCAAGTAGATAAAACTCCTAAAATGCATATGTTAAGGATAACATAGAAATCATCAAAATTTTAATATAAAAAAAACAAAATTACATTCAAGCATTTTATCAAATATTTAGGGTGCAATATTATACAAAGACATAAAGACATATTAGTAGAAAGAGACTTTAAATTGATTTTGAGTTTGTGATTTAATTAAAAAATAAAAGTTTAATTTGAATTCTTGAAATTCTTATTTGTTTTCTCGTGGTCTCTGCATCATCAAATATAAAATATTAAAATTATAAAAGACATTAAAATAATATCTGGCTGTGATTGTGAGTGAAGGCAAGAGGAAAACAAATTAAGATTGAGATGAAAAATATATTATTTATATTAAGAACTCGGGTTATTTATATTGAGTTACACGGATTGAATTAGATTACTTGAATTTCAAAAATCTAATATTAAATCTTATAATTTAATTAGAAATAATTAATTTGACATCAATGATAATAATTTAATTCCTAATAATTAATTAATGGGCAATATAACATAATTCATATGATTAAAGATATTGTATAAAAAAGAAATTTTTTTATAATGCAAATATGATGTATAAAACATACTATGTTAATTTTTTTTTTAAATTGTATGTTATTTTAGCCAATAACAAAAAAATTTAAATTGTATGTTATTTTAGCCAATAACAAAGTAATTCCTTCATAATTCTTTTTAATTAATCTTATATGTTATTGACTAAAAAAATCACAAATCCAATAAGTAAAGAGTAGTTAATTTAAGGTAAATGATATATCCTGTTTTTTTTTTAAATCATCTCAATTAAATAATTTAAATTGTTAGATAAGATTGTAAGATTTAATTTATATTATTTATTAATATATATCCTCAAGTGCAAGTTTTATAAGTTTGAAACTTATACAAATTTATATTATTTTATGTTTAATTTTTTTATTAAATAAATAAAATTTATAAAAGTAAAATTCAATGACGATTTAATTATTAAAACTACAATACTATCTACAGAATTTAAACAAACGCAGCCCAGCAGTCACCACATCTTGAGCTATACAGTTGCAAAATGGCTAGAGGCTTGAAGAAGCACTTGAAGAGGCTTAATGCTCCAAAACATTGGATGCTTGATAAACTTGGTGGTGCTTTTGCCCCCAAGCCCTCATCCAGACCCCACAAGTCTAGGGAATGCTTGCCTTTGATTCTCATTCTGCGAAACAGGCTCAAGTATGCTTTGACATACCATGAAGTGATTGCTATTTTGATGCAGAGACATGTTCTTGTTGATTGGAAGGTTATGACAGATAAAACCTACCCATCTGTTTTATGGATGTTGTGTCAATCCCAGAGACAAACGAGAGCTTCCGCAGTCTCCTATATGACACCAAAGGCCGCTGCCGGCTCCATTGTCTAAGAGATGATGATGAAGATGATATGTTTAAGTTATTAAATTGAATTTATTTTTTTATATGGTTTTAAAATTTTAATAATTAGATGGTTAGAAATTTAAATATTATTATTTTTATTTATTTGATAGAAATTAAAAATAAGGAATGATATAAGTTTTAAATTTAAAGAATTTTTAGGTGAGATGATGTGTTAAAGAATAATATAAATTATATATTAAAATTTTATTTAAAAGTTTAAGCTAATATAATTTTTTATAGTATTTATATTTTTTATTTTTAAATTTTTTTAAAACAAATTAATAAAATTTAGAATAATAACTCGTTATTTTATAACTTAAAAACCATTTAAAAATAAATCAAGATAACCTCCACAAGGCAGGTTTAATTTTTCTCTATTATGATGGCATATATCTATTTTTAGGATTTTCTTCTACTTAAAAATAAACCAAGAACTTCATCGGTATACAATTTGTTCGAGCCCGTTTGGGTGCAGCTGGAAACTTCATCAGCAATTCAAGTCATATTGACAAGTTCAAAAAATCAGCAACAACAGTGGCTTTCAGCTTTTTATCATGTTTCCGCAATATAGATTAAAGCTGTGAAAGAGATGGGCAATTATTTCAAATGCAATAATTGTGTTGTATTATAAACCATTAGTAAGATAATGGCGTAGACTGTAGCTGAGAGCAGCCGGCTACATGGGGTTCAGCTCTTGTTTCCATAATAATCTGGAATTGCAATCCAGCTAGTTAAGCCCCATTCAGCTCTTTCACAACCACCTATCTCCCCCACCCCAAACCTTTAATTAAGTTAAATATGCATTTGACTGGATGGTAAGACCAGATTTCAAAATATTGAAAGCTTTTCTTCAGCTATTTCTTCACGGCATCTTTCCAGCTCTTGTTTCCAACTCATGTCTTTCTTCATCCGGTTTCCTGAAGCAAAATTAAGTAGAAGAACTGCTGCATAACCTTCTCCTTTCATCCGGTTTCCTGAAGAAAAAGTAGAAGAACTGCTGCATAACCTTCTCCACCGTCTCTCAGCAGGTTTGTCTTCTCCGTTGTGTCTCGCTTTCCTTTTTTTTCACTCCTGCATGTTCTGTGTTTCCTCTCCCTTCTCTGTCGGTTTGGCCTTAAGAAGAGCTAGTTGAGTGATATTACGTGAAAAAAGGTTAAAAGTTCCTCTCTTATGCTGCTTTCTGTGGTTGTTCTCCTCTCTCTCCCCTGTCTATTTGTGCATTAAATACATATGATTATTGAATATCAATGCATTATTTAAGGTTCTTCTTCCTTTACATCATTGCATAGACAGAACATTTTATGCAACCTTGAGGGGTTGGCGTAGCCGATGCCGTCTGGGTTCTGACGGTGTGTTCCCTTCCAGTCTCAAATTCGAGTCTGCTTCCCGCTGCGAGACCATGGACTGCATGCTGTGGACGTAAAAATTGTTTTTTAAAATATTTTTAATTTAAAATAATAAGTTTTTTAGTTTTTAAAATTAATTTTTGATATCTAAAACTAAAATAGAGATAATTTGAAGTGAAAATTTGAAGTGAAAAATTAAAAAAAAAATATATAATTCAACTATAATCTCATGTACTTTTTAATCTGTTACATGTAAGTTAGCCCAGAATATCAATAAATGTACAATAAAGAAACCTAATTGAAAAATTCAGAAGAATACGAGACAACTCTCACTAATCAATCAAACAAAACGTAAAAGAACAATTATACAAACTATATAAAACACGTAGCTAAAATACTGTAGAGTTTACTGTGTACACAGAGTCACAGGCACAAAAACTATTCATTATGACTGTAGAATTACGCTTGTCCTTTGAAGAAAGTTTCGTTTGCCTTGGTTTTGGGTGGTTTCGTCTTTTCCAAGTAGTCATTAAAGATTTGTAAATTGTTGTTTTTATATTTTTACTTTTTTATAAATAATAAAAATATTTATTTACCCCTACAATTAAAAAAAAATTGAATAGCTAGCCAAAGGTATTTATGCTTTTATGTTATTTTACAAAATTATACATTAACTTTTATGAGAGAGGCAAGAATTCAGGGTGATTTTATCTTTTTATATATGTTTTTTATGTTTCAGTTTTGAATTTCTTATTCTTAATAATTACTTTTTAATAAAAAAATACAATAACATGAACATTACATATTGTTATGTGGGAGATATTCACATTTTTTAGGGGCTCACACACTTTTCTCGATAGCTAAATTTATTATTTTGTTGTTTCATTAGAAGCAATGCCTCCTTTTCTTTTTAGTGAGTAGTTTGTCATTAATCATTGTTTATCTTCTTCTTTCTTTCTTTTTTTCTTGTAAAAAAAAATTATTTATGTTCTTTTTTTTCTTTCTTTCAAGTTTGGTTCTTATAAATTTTTTTCATATTTTCAATTTAGTCTTTAAATTATAATAAGTTTTCATGTTTTCAATTTAGTTTTTAAATTATAATTTGTCATATTTTTTTTTCTAAAATTCAATTTTTATTTTTTTAATTTTTGATTTTTTTGTTAGAGTTTTGTTGTTTTTAACTTTATCTTTTAATAAAAATTTATGTTGTAATATCTTAATTTCACGTGTCAATGCATTGTCTGTCCGTTAATACACAACCAAGATCCAAATTCTAAAAAAACGCAGCTCAATGAGGAGATTTTTGGAAAAGAGCATCATTTTTTCCCTAGTTTCATCTTTTGAAGTTTAATTTTTTAGGAATTAAATTTTATAGTTTTTCTTTTTACTGTACTTTTAATCTAATAACACACGTCATGAGATTTAAAGGTTTATAAAATTAAGATTTTATTATACTACCTTTTTTTTTAATATTGGTTTTCTAGTTATCTTATTTTTTTTTTAATTGATTTATCTTGATCACATGACTTAAACCATGGATCTTACAATCTTTTTTGGATTGAGCATGTTTTTTAAATGTTTTGTTTTGTATATAATTTTTGACAAAATTCTTTATTTTTGTATAGGTAAACTTTATTTTATAAAAAGTATTTATTTTTAAATAATATTTTTAATATATTAGGTCTCACATAGTATTTTTTTTTTAATTTTATTTACTTAGTTTCATATTTATTTCTATTTATATTATCTTTTATAAATTTCAATAAATAAATTTAAAATCTGGACATGATTTTTATTCACAATGCATAATCATCATATTTTGAACATTATATTAATTATTGTATAATATAAATATAGATTTGTATAGAAGATTATTAAACATGGTCATTTGAACGAATTTAATTTCTTGTTAAAAAATGAATCTTATAATGGGTTCGATCTTTTTGTCACATAGGTGTCCATCACCTCCTTGATCAATATAAAATCACAAATTAATTCATATTCACGTGATAACATTAAATAGCTTCAACTATTAACAAAAACTATAATCCTGTGCAAGTTTTATTATAGTATTAATCAATAATTTATTATGAATTATTATAATAAATTTTTTTTAAGAGTGAGAAAAAAAAAGTCTTGAGGTTTGGAGTTTTTTGGTCTTTTTTATTGGCCCATTCATTATTAGATGACTGTTTGAGGATGAATCTAATTTTTTAATTTGCTTAAATGGTAAAAACATTTTTTTATTCATAGAGTAAAAAACCTTTAGAATAGTTGATCAAGGAATTTCTTGATTTTTTACGATCTTGTTAACAATTAAAATATCTTTTTGAATGCAAGATTAAAAAATTATTGGATTATTAGATAAGAGTTTTTAGGTTTTTCATTATCTATGTATAGTAAAAACACGTATTTAACCTTAGAAAAAATATAAAAAAAATAAGTTTTTTCTTTGGAGATATTTTTATATTTTTACACAAATATTTTGTGTAATTAACAAAGTCATGGGGGATACTTTAGTATTTTCACATTTACTTATGAATTTTTAAATTAAAAAAAAGTCGTTGACATGTGTTTAACATGTGCTAGTAAGTAATGTGAAGTCCATGTCATTCTAACAATGCAAGGGATGCCATTAGATAGCTAAATTTAGCCTTTCTTTATCTCCCTATATGCACAACTCTGCACAACCCTATTATTATTTTCCATACAAAATGCCGTGTTGAGGTTTATGGTGGTCGGATTGTCATAATCATTTGTTATTTTTTCATTTTTTTCTCTTTTATAACGAATAAAATATATCATTATCCTATTTGTTTTTTGTTTGTCATTTTTATTCTTCATTATATAGAAGGTTTTTTATTTTTTTTTAATTTAGTCCTTCAATTACAATTGCTCATATTTGTTTTTAATTTTAGTGCTCATTCTTGTAATTTCTTGTTTTGTTTTTATTCATTTTATAGAAGTTTTTTTATATCAATTTAGTCTTTTAATTACAATTGCTTATTTGTTTTTATTTCAGTGCTTATTCTTTCAATTTCTTATTTCATTCTTGTTTCTTTTGTAATTTCAGTCCTCATTTTGTAATTTTTTATTTTATTCTTATTTTTTTATAGAAATTTTTTTAAAAATTTAGTCCTTCAATTACAATTTCTCACATTTTTTTTTCAATTTCAGTTCTCATTCTTTTAGTTTCTTATTTCAATCTTATTCCTTTTATAATTTTTTTTTCAATTTAGTCCTTCAACTATAATTGCTCATATGTTTTTTTTTATTTTGGTCCTTATTTTTTTTCTTGGCCCTTTTCTTAAAGTTTTTTAGTTCTTAATTTCATTTTTCAATCAAAGTTTTTTAGGTTTTATTTTTTTTCAGTTTAACTCTCATTCTTTTGATTTTTTTTTTGTTGTTAAATCTTTTTTTTTTCAATTCAATTTAACCCTCCAATTGAAAATTTTAATTTGCTCTCTAATTAATATTTTTTTCACCCTTATTATTTCTAGATCTTTTTATGTAAGTGATTTTTTTTCTAGTTTTATTTTTTGACATCTAATTTGTTAGGGATTTGATTATATATGATTTCATCGTTTTGCTTTATTTTTAAAAAATAAAATATTAATTTTGTGATTATCTTTAATTTTTTTGATATGGGTTCATTTAGGTCATGAGTTTGGCATGCTAGTTTTTAATATAATTTTTTTATAGAATTATTTTGTTTGTTTTTATTTTTCAAGATTTTATTTTAACTCGTATATTTATTTTTTTATAAAAATGAACTCTATTATTTAAAATAAAAAATATTTATTTTTAAATAATATTATTGATGTGTTGGGCCTTCCATAATATTATTTTTTAGGACATGAGTTTATTTAATTAATTTTTTTATCTTTTAGATTATGAATTTTTTAGGGTGTGAATTTATCTTTAATTGACTTAAATAAACAAGTTTAATAAACGAAATCGGATGACTGTATCATTTTGTGTGATTGAATATCTTGATTTTAATTTTATTATTATTAATAATATTTTTTTTATTTTTTTACATAAATAATTATCTATATATTTAATTATATATTTATATATGCTTTTTAATTTATATTTTGAGATTTTTTATATAAAAAACACAGTAAAACAACCCATATGTTCTGTATTTTTTTTTTTTTAGTTACAACTCACCATGGGGCACGAGTTTGATAGCCAAGTTAATAATAGCTAGTTGTTACGTAAAGAAATGATAACAGGAAAGAAATAAAAGTAAACTGATATCTAATAATAAATAAATAAACATGGAGTACTGAAAAATCTAATTATTAAATTTAGATGTTGGACTGCTTTAGAAGATCCTGCTCTATTTGTTTTTAAATTTTCAAAAGTATTTTTTTTTAATTATTTTTTTTAAATTAATATTTCTTGTTTTTAAATTATTTTAATATATTGATGTTAAAAATAATTTTTTTATTTTAATATATTTCTAAATAAAAAATATTTAAAAAAAAATACAACTACACTTCTAAATATTCATAATATATAAAAAAAGGGCATGAAAAATTGGAATGACACTGGAAAGTTGAAGAAACACGTGCATGTTAAATAAATATATATATATATATATATATATATATATTTCAAACTATTAGATATGAAATTAATTTATAAAAACTAGTAAAAAAATACTTTTTCAAAAA